TTCAGGAGTAGTGCTGCTAGAGCTGATTATATCCTGGGGCAAGAGATAGACCAGATGACTTAAGTTCCTTTCCCAGTCTATTTTTCTGTGACTGCAACTGCTCTTACTTGTCCCTTGTACAGGCAATATCTGTTGCAGTACCACCTATAAAGCAAGAGTACCCAATTTGCCATGGCTGAAGAGGCTGATCATTCCTTACTCTAGCCAGTGAACAAGACCGGAAACTATTTTTATTTCATCTGTGTACATGAATGCTACTATCAGTGGTAACTCTCAGCAGAACATTATGTGTCTCCCAAGGGACAAGAGTGGGTGTCTAAGTATTTTTTGCATTAATATATATTCATTATTTTTATACAGTTTTTCCCCCCAGAGACAATAAATACCCAATAGATACAAATAATAATAATGTTTGCTCAGAAAGGCAGGCAACAAACCTTTAACAAGTAGTGTCACTGTAAGCCTTAAATAGTAGTTGTACTGCCTAAGGCATCTGATAAAAGATTCTAGTGTTCTTGCTATACTGTGTCAGGCAGATGCATCAATCAAACTCCATAATGACTAAATTGGGAAATAGGGTATTGGGAATAAACAGTTCTAAAAAGAGGTGAAACTTTGTGACAAGCAGCCTTAACAGACCAATCTTGATTCTAAACATAGAAGCAATTTTAGGGCTTCTCTGGAGGCAAAGGACAATTATTGCCTAAACAAATAAACTAGTGTCTCAGTACCTCAGGCATTCACTAAAGTTAGTTTGAAACACAGTTTTGAGATCTGACTAGTGGAGTTTTGGGGACGCTGTAGCTTGACCCATTAACTTTCATTGAACTGTGTATGGACATCCTTTTAGATAATCCATAAACTAAACTGGAATAGAATAAGAAAACTGGAATGTGTTATGATTTTAGCACCAATTCTGCTGCCAAAGAAAATAACTAGGTCTTAGCTAAGATTGAATATATGTCAGGCTCTGAATTTGGATACACATGAAGACTGCACACTTAAGGTTCTAAAAAGTTCAATAAAAGACCTGAACTTCAGCTTCTACTTGGAGTGTTTATTTAAAGCTGTATGGCAAGTTGGCAGCAAATCTGATTGTTAAAAAGAGGAAAAAAAAAAAAGAAAAGAAAAGAAAAGAAAAGAAAAGAAAAGAAAAGAAGAAAACTAAAAAAGGCTTATCTGGCCATTTCTACTGTATTGTGCTGAATGCCTCATGGAGCCCTGAGCATACAGATTCACGCTTACGTTCATACTGCACCATGTACCAAATGTTATCATACTATGACAGATGAAAAAAAGTTTCCCAAGGGTTTTTACTCCTTGGACAGTGGTTACTCAGACTTTGAGAACAATTATAAATATCACAAGGGTTTAGGTTTCCCTGAAATAGTTTAGCTTCTGTTGCTTGAATTTTACTCACACCCTCCCCCAAGATTAGTTGAAGAGATATTTCTATAAGGATTAACTGAGTTACAAAATTCAAATAACCTTTTTATGTGAATAAAATCAGCATGGTCCTCATAACATTATGATTTTAATGAAGTCTTGAAGCTAATGCATAATCTTATTTATGTTGCATCACCATCCTGTGACATTCCATCTAATGTGATTTTACTTTGAATGCAAAGCTACATCATCTTGTATTGTAGGCTAAACAACTGCAATGCTTTTGATGCAGTACCCCATAACTCCAGTGGTATGATTTAGTGTTTTTGCATCTGAGAACAACCTGGCTGCTAAGCAGCTGCTCAGTTCTGATGTTGTTCTTTATCACAAGGTTTTTAAATAGCTCCCCAACTAACAGTGTAACACCCTGTTTAAACATTTATATATGCCTGAAGAGATGCTGCCCATTCATAGTACTGTTTCCCATACATATGGAGCTATGTTTTGTGTGCATAAACATACAATACAGATTGAAAAACAAGACCATTGTGTCCCCTTTCTACCACCTGAAGTGTGAGCAGGTTGCTTCTAATGAATTCTTTGGATATTTCTGGTTTTATTTGATAATCCGAATGCAGTGGTATTTTTTAGGAGGTTTTCTTCTTCCTTCTTTGTGTTTCCTCTGTCATAAGTTCATAAACTATGAACTCTATTTATTTTTTAGCTACTTTCAGTATTTCTTTTGTGAGTCAGTACAGATACTTCTATGTTTTACTGTCACTGTGTCATTGTAGTATTTTGCATAATTCAAGGAATGCAAGTTTTATTTTATTAGCTTTCTTTTTACTTTCAGGTTTGGTTGATTTTACTTTCTTACTAACATTGCTCTGACACTTCAGTTCTACATCTCCCCACTGCTTGCACTTCCTGCACATCTGATCATACTTGCTCTGTCATTATTTTGACAGCATAAAATATATTACCATGACCAGGCTGAGGGAACATCATTTATAGGAATAAGCACCCTTTCTGTACACATTCCTGTTGGATTTCCATTGAGTGAGTACACCTGTTCCTCTTAAAAAAATGTTAAACACTGTTTTTCCTACTTTTTCAACTCTAGGAAATATCCACACACATTCAAACTGGAAAGGAGCACACTGTACTAGGATTACCAAGCTGTACAATACTCTAAGACTGGAAAAAGCAGCCATACTAGATCAAACCTATATCCATGTGGTGCCATATTCTACCTCCAACTGACTCATGAAAATGAGTAAATCTAGGTGGTATTTCCCTCAGGTACTTTCTCAGTCATACGTGGCTCACCAAGCAGCTAAGTTTAAAAGATTTAGAATTTGTAATAGAGGGGAAATCCAAGTTTTCACACAAAAGTTATCCAGTATTCCATGCACTTTTTTCCATGTTGTTACAGAAAACTTCTTTCAGTGCACTTCCCATATAATCACCTATATTTAATTTTGCTACAAACACAAAAAGAGAAAAGCCAGCAATGCAAGGTAATTTATTTGTAGGCTAAAGCACAATTTACTTTAATAATCTATACATAGGATGTTTTCTAAACTCTATTACTTATCGATGAGAAAACTTTTTATAAACAAAAGTTTTGTTAGATTAAAAAGTGGATGTGCACAGTTTGGAGTTATTTCAGAATAAAGTTTTCACAAATTGTTTTGACATTTCACATATTTGAAGGTACAAAGGCATGTTGCAACTGGAAAGGGAAAAAAAAGAAGTTTATCAGCTAATGTGCAACCTCAAGAGTTTTTAAAATCTTTTCAGGGAAAGTTAGGCTAGATCTAATTTTATTCCTAGGAGTTTGTTCATCCTGAGCATTAATTATTTGGTTACAGTATAGAGAACTGTTAAGGGCCTACATGAATAGGTAGCAGGATTGTATTCTTCTCCCACATATAGTTTGTCTTTCCTTCCATGTAAATAACATCTAACATTATACAACCATCCTGTGAAGTATGATTGCAGAAGGACAAAATTCATACAGCTATGCAGAGCAAGGAGCCTGGGAAACCCTGTGGCAAAACTGTTGTCAATGCCACATTGATAAAGCATTTAGGGTTTGTCAGTTACTGGAGAAAAACTGCATAATAATATATCAATAAAGCACATTTTATTTTTTTTCCCCAAATAAAACTATTAAAGGGATTTTGACAAAGATTAAACAGAAAACCAGGACCTTTATCTGAAGTATTGCAATGTGTCTTTACACTTTATTTCAGAAGTATTAGGACTATGCAAAGTACATATTTTTTTTACAGTTGAATCCTGTCATTTCTCTTACACTCTTGTGTTCCTGAAAATCTTGCTGATCAGTTATTAAAAGAAATGGCAAATTACATACATGCATTCAATACATTTCTTTAAAGCTTCTTCATCTCCTATTCTTCTTATTTTTTAAACTAATCTTCTACATGATCAGTCAGCCACTAGTGTGAATCTGTCCATTATGAGCAATGACACTAACACCCCTGAGGTGTTGCTGGGAGAAGGGACTGATTGCTTTGGGGAGTTGAAATCAGGTCCTGTGTCCTGGGCCCTGGGCAGGTTGGAGTAGTTTCCAGGGAGTCTGGGAAAGGACAGTCAGGGCTGTTGGTGCCCTCAGGGACATGACAGTTACGTTGCTCCTTGTCTCTTCCAGGTAGCCATTTTTCACTTCACACCCCTGGCCTTCCCATCAAATCCTTGTTCCATTCAACTTCTTCCTCTTTTATTCTATCTTCTCAACTACATACAATTTCTAGCTCCTGTACTTATTTTCCCACTTTTCTTGCTCCCTTCTTCCCCATTTTTATTCAGTCATAGTGACCCTTTCTTTCATCTTCTCCTCTCTGGTATCATTTGTGGCTCCCCATAAATGATAGCAGAGAAACCCTCCCAACCCTCTCCAGGATTTAGGAAATCAAAGAAGGAGCCCTGACGATACATGATTACTTGCTTTTGGTGATCTTCAGTCTCTTTCAATCCCCTAAACATTTTTCATCAGTTGTGCAGACAGACCTGACTAACAGCTTTAATTCTGCTGTCAAACAGCTGGCTTTTCTCAATTCACTCATCTCTTACAAATTACTCAAGGCACAGTCACTCCTCAGCCAACTTTTGTGGAGAGGCTTGGCCCTCTCAGGCTATGTTCACGTTAGCAAGTAGTAGGATGAAACAGGAATGAAGACAAGGATTGAGGTATTTAATACATACTTGTTTGTACAAGTTTACTTCAGTGAGGACATGAGGAGAGCCCTCAAAGAGTTGGGAATCCCTCCTTGAGGAAGCACAGACACTTCCCTTCCTCCACTATGGTGAGTCATGCCATGCTCAAACTTTCTGTCTTCACTGTAAGGAAAAACCTCACCTTGAAAAGCTAGCTGTACTTCAACAGCTAGAGAAGAAAACCCCCCATTCCTGTATCCTCCCATTCATCTGAGTATTGAGAAGCCTAAACCCCGGTTCAAAAAAGGAGCAGAAAATACTTCTTTTCTGTCCTTAAAAGACAGACAATTTAGGATAGAGGTGTTAATTGAAGGCAGACAAAGTAAGTAGTGCAAGCACTGAGAGCTCTTAAGGGCTGTGCACTGTGATGAGAAAGTGGTTCCTTTGCTTGATCCCAGCTCTCTCCCTATGCTCTAATTTTCTAGGCACCTGACTTGAGTCTCTGAGGTCCTCTTTGCTGAAGTGGTAAGTGCTTACAACTGCTCCAGAAGCTTGTGGGAGTTAGTTTGAAAGTGCAAGATTCAATGATGTTACTTTTCCTTCCTACCTTAAATGGGGAAAACTTAATCTAGGTTTCCTTATGTGCAGCAGCTTTCTGTATATTTTTCTTAATATCAAATACCTGAGAACCAAAATACTTTCGTTTAGGTAGCCAGCCAAAATATTTTAAAGGAACTGTAGAGAGCCTGACAGCAGAATGGCTACAGGACAAAGGGAAACTGTGTAACTTTTTGTGTGGTCCCCAGGATGTATGCTTGCTGAGATAGCACAAGAAGCTGCACCAGAACTGTATTCTGTTTTTTTTTGCCCCTTGCTTAACACCTCTTCACGGACTGAACTCTCCAGCCAGGTTACATGTTCTTCAACACTGTAATCAGGGACTCTTTAATAAAGCAATGTCTTCTTACTGCTGTTGTTTTCCTCAGAAAGCCTGTGCTACAGAGGAAGATGGGAATATGAAGATTATGAACTACAGCTGCCTGAGGTAATATGGTAATATTTCATTACTGAACTATTTTAATTGTGAGCCAAAATATTTCAGATTTTGTTTACTTTTGGAGTTGAATTTTTCCACTGTTTAATTTCCCTAAATAGATTTAATGCTATGTAGTCTGAAAATGGGCCGAGATATCTCACACTGGACATCCAAAATTAATGAAGCTGTTTTTGCTTATCCCTGTGTTGCTGGTCATAACAATTGATATAATAATAGAATGGCACCATTTTGAAGAGTTGCAAAATCAAATTAATGTTAATGCATGTGATACTGGAGGATAAACTTTGTAAAACAGTTGTCAAAGTAGGAATGTGTTCAAAAAAGATTGCTGGAGGTTCATAATTCTGGAATTAAACAGGATTTTGGTTGGAATTTGTGTATTTAATTTACTAAAACTTTGAGTTCATACTTCAGACATTAGGATTTTGTAAAGCTTTTGTAAGAGCATTGCAAATTAAATATAACTACTGAAAACATTGTACAGCATCTTTATGCAAGAACTCTTTTGAGTAAGCATAAAGAAAGTTTTTAACATGCTTCTTGTACTAGAACAAATTTGTCTTCATTTATACAATACTACAGTATTTCATAGCTCTATTCATCATAGAATAGTTTGGGTTGGAGGGGATCTTAAAGATTATCTAGCTACAACCCCTCTGCCATAAGCAGGGACATCCCCACTACAGCAGATTTCTGAACAACACAAGCAACTTGCTAACAATAAGTGTGACCTTTAATAAGCTTATAACTGGATTTCACTGTTTCCAAGGTGGTGGTAGGGAGGAGCAAGTATTCTTACCAGCTGCAATCTTCAGTCTTTTTTAGTGCTGTCAGGCCAGAAATATTCACTCTTGGCTCTTCTTTGGGATACTAATCTGTCCATGCTGTGCACTGTCAGGTTTGGATTGCAGAGACAATCATATTGTTTCTATGCGTTTATTGGCACTGTTATACCTGCTCATACGCAAGCAACATAACCCACCCAAGATACCCCTGGTTACTCAGGAACTGTAAAGTTTGGTGATGACATTAAGTCTCAGCTTTGGAAATGGTGCTGTTTTTAGTAGTAGCACATGCTTGTCTATTACTGTGGTGTGTTAATGACATGTATGGCTTTGTCAGAATTGTCTTAAAAATGTCTGGAAGGGATCTTTACTGTATGCATTTACAGTTCTTGCTCCTTGTCAATTGGAGGAGACACTACGGCTTAATAGGCTCATACACAGATTTTATAGGATGTCAGAACAAAATGATTTTTTATTGAGGAAGGGTCAAACAAGTTGTGCTTTTTGTTGTATCACACTAAACAATATAAGAAGCATGTTAAAAAAGCTCAGGGCTCTCACTAGAAGGCAAAGGCTATGAGAAATGATTTAAAGCTACATTATCCTGTTTCTAATTCCTTTTCTTTCTTCCTGCGGAAATGTAATTGCAAGAGGCTGGGAGAAGGGATTGGAGCATTGGCTTCTATGTCAGCCTTGAAGAGTCATAAAGTCTCTTTTATGGGTTTCTCTCTAGCCCAGTTCTATTTTTCCAAATTAGAGGAGACAATATGACAATCTTAGCTAGCTCTGATCTTACATCTTAATTTGCAAACTCAGCAGCAATATCAGTGACCAACTTCACTGGATATGAGGAAATATTTTTGAATTTAAACAATTTTCCACTGACCTCCAGTAAAGGCCTTTTTTATAATTGTCTGCATGTTTCCTTAAAGACCTCCTCCCCCTCAAATTCAATAGGCTTTGATAATAAATATTCTGGATAACTAATGTCTGTCTCAGTTAAGATGTCTGTTAGATCTTAGATATAGAAGTCAAATATGCAGCTGGAAGTTTCAAACAATAAATTAATTAATTGTGATTCTTTCTGAATTAAGCACAGCAAACAGACACTATGAATAAATTTAGAATTCTGTGAAGCAGTTGAAGCTTCTTCTGAGAACTGGCTCAGATTGGTTTGTGTAACTTGAATAAACTTAAACAAATGTCATTATGTATAAAACCCCAACAACCCAACAGTTCCCTGTATCACTATTCCTTCACGTTTCCTGGCATCATTTAATAAAATACTTGAAGTTCCAGCATTTTGCTGCTGCTGCTGGTATACCTTGGTCATGACCTGGAAGGACCACCCACTCTTGTAAAAGAGAGCGTAAGTCTGTCTCTATGCTAATTTGATTTTAGACCTCCTTTGAAGAAAAAATACAGGTATCCTTCAGTCAGCTTCAGTCTGGGCTGAGCTACTTCTGTGATGCAAGTTTTGGTCTGTAGAAGTCACTTATGGCTGTTTGCATAAGGCAGAGGGTGTTTTGTGTGTGTATGTGTGAAGGAGAAGAGAAACTTTTATTGGTGCTTTTGTTTCTTTTCCACTTGAAGAAAAGCCAGGTATTTTTCTACTTATGTTTGAAAAAATGTCCAAGAAAAACAAAAGCACTAATATTAGCCCAAATGAATCTTTAGTTAATGAGATGTGATTGATTACTTTGAAAGGAAAAAAGTAATATACTATGACATATAAATCTAAATGTACTGGTTAAAGCTCTAAATAATTTTATTTCCCATAAAAGAAGCACTTGTAATTAGGAATGAAAAATGCAGTAAGCTGATGAAGAGAAAATAAATTTATTGAAGTGATTTTGCAAATCATGGTTAATTGAGCCACAAACAAAGCAGCAAATAAAGGAAATAATGTGGTAATTGAAACCCTCATCCCTTATTGGCATACATTATGGCTTGCTATCTTTTAGCAGTATTAAATCATTGTATGTGAACGTTGCCAAAAAAACTCTTCATTTCCTTTTAGTGACTTCTTACTGCCCTCAGCTGAAGTTTAATAGAAAAGGAAGGACATGATGTAGTTTTAATGACAGGAAACCCATGGCTTCCAAATGAATAAATTCCATCACTGGCTGCCACAAAGTGTGCTAATTATTTCCTTTGATAAATTAAAAGCCGTAAAAGTCCAAAGTATATAGCATGTGGTTTACAGTTATAGTCTGCCTGTCTGCATTATTGAAAGTTCATATAAACCTCATTATTTTAATTTAATAAACATTATAATTATTTTTTACACCAGTAGGCTGTATAGAAAGCATATGTCAAAGATAAACTTGTCTGACAGGAGGGTAAACCGTCCACAAAATGAATAAGCAAAGAACATGGTGTGTCATGTTGTGATAGGTCAGATTTTTAATGATACTTTTGAATGAGCAGATGCTTAAATATTTTTCAGCTTTATAAACCAGAGACTAGTGAACTAACTCTATCTTGTAAATGAGTATTTCATTCTGTAAAGTGTGCTTTGATGAACAATACAGTTCCTTGTGTTTTAGAACAGAAGCAAAGAAAACTTGGGAAAAATTCAGGGAAATGTAGAGAGGAAAATGGAGATTTTATAATAAACATTGAAAGTCAAATAAAATAAAATCCTATTCTATCTGAAGGAATGAAACAGATATCCAACAGCGATGTAAATAACCAGAAGTGGTTTTTTTTCTTAAGAAAGATCATATTCAATGAGGGTCTGAATATTTTTAATGACTATTGTACTAATGACATTCAGGCCTGCTCAGTACCTCACAGGATTAGACCTTAACCTTAATACAGATAAAAGAAAAAAAAGAAAAGAAGAAGACTGAAGAATGAGAAGCAAACCCAGTTTTTAGAGGTTATGGAAGTTCATGTTGGGTTATGATTCTAAAACATTTTAAAAAGCAAACACTTTTAGGTTAGCCAATCGATCCAGTACTGTTACAGTACTGTATCTTTTGCTGAGTGTAATTTAATGCACCTGACTCCAACTGTAAACTGATTCAAATCTGCTTTTAAAGTGGGGAAAAAAAAAAAGAGAATTTAGCTGGACTGTATTACTAATTTTGCTAAGCATAATGATTCAGTAATGAGACTAGGAGTTTCTGGAGACATGAGACAGCAGTGGCATGCCAGAATAGAGGGCATAGTATCACACATCAGATATGTGGAACCAGCAGACAGATGTACAGAACTAGGTCTGGCAGGACCAGGAAAAAGCAAAAGACAGGCAAACCACTTTGCTCTCTTAAATTTAAAATGCATGTTATAGACAGCAATTAGAGATACTAATAAAAATTACAGGAATTGGAGCACGTATTGTTTTTCCATGGTATTGGACCAAATCTGTTGCAGAAGTGGGTATTCAGAGAGCTGTGTCTTACAGCTGGGGAGCTGCAGCTCCCAAATGACTGGATCAAATGGGTATTGTTACAGATTATATTGGAGAGATCTTTTGTTCTGCTTATTGGTCTATACTGTCTCCTTAACATAAGTCAAACCCTATGGACCAATACAAATGTACAGCTGGTCTGATTTGTGCTGGAGAGCAGCTTTCCTGCAAACCTATAGGGAATATTGAGACCAGTTGCCATGTATGTCAATGACGAATTAGTTTAGTAGTTCCGTGTGAAACTAAGAATGTATTTCACTTTTGCTTAGAAGTGTATGCTTAGACTTTATGAAGAAAATTCAGACTTGCATGTGCTACAGGGCTGAAGCCAGTGGAATTGTTTCTGAGTGTCAGGGATGCTGACTTGATGTTATACTGACTCTATGTATCAGCTAGAAATTGCCAGTTTCGTGTCTGACACTGCACTATGTTATGGGGAAATGTGTTGCTCTCTGGAACAAAAAAAAAAAAAGGAAAAGTACCTAACTTTATGAGCAAGTGCCTGATTCTGCTTCTGAGAGACATTATTCTTCCCTTCAGTGAACTGAAATGGAAACATATCACATTTTTTGTTTGATGTGCTATACCAGCACTTTTCTGTCATTTCATTTTCACACAGTAACACAAGAAATAATTTTGAGGGAAATCGAAAGGGTAAGAAGTTTTCTGAATCTTTTTAGTTGAAAAGGAGTTTGAAAGAGAGCTGGGGGAGGTGTTTTAATATTCTTTCAGAAGTAATTGGTGTTGCAAGGAAGTGTAGGAGGCTGAATTCTTCCACATTGCAACATATTGCAGCCTCAGAAAAATACCATAAGTTCTAGCTGAAATATTCTTAGTTGCAAAGATTTAAATAAAGTCATTTGAAAGTGCCAAATCTGTAGTAGTGCTTGCAAGAATATCTCCCTGAAGGACACTCTCCTTTTATGTTTATATGTCACTACTCCTCTTTAATAATAAACCTATGAAAAAAGTGAATAAAGTGCTATAAATAGCATATATGAAGACATATTAGTGCCTGATTGGAAAATGCTGACACACTTTGAACATGCAAAGGAATTCTGTTCCTTTGCTCTTCCTTTATATTTTTCCATCTTTTTTTAATTAATGAGAGGAAGACAAGATTACTGCTTCTTTAGAGATTATTTCCTTCATTGAGTTTTCCTTCTGTAGTCATAACAAATCTGCTTGTAAGATGAAAATGGCTCACATATCAGTTAACTATGCTTATTTTCATGGTATTTTACTTGGGAGAATAATTAACTTTTTTATTAAGACTGCTGTGAAACTAGTTATAAAGACCAAAATATATTGTAAAATACTAGTGGGACTTGAATACCTGATTAATATTAGCACCATAGAGTAAAAATATTTTGTTTTAAAGATTTTCATTATCTTTTTATTATTTCTTCTCATAGTTGACCTTCAGAAAATATGTGCTTTGAATCTTAAATTTTATAGACATTGATTTTTCTCTTTGATAACATACTGTATTTAGAGAGAGATACATGAACAACATTTGTATCAGGGACAGAAAAACTGTTGTCTGTAAATTGTGTGGAAATATAAGACAAATCAGTCTTGTTGTACAAAGGCAATCTGTGATGGGCATTATATTTACAGAGCAGATAGAAAGGGAAAGACAGGGTTGTTGTGAAAATCCTTCTGTCTTACCATTTGTCAGGGGTTAAAGAAGGCCCTGAGGGAGCTGGAAAGGACTATGATCAAGTTGATAATCTGTCACTTGCTGGCTTTTCAGTCAAAGCAAATAGGAGTTACCTCTCTGTGAAGAGTTATTTCAGTTGACTATGAGAAACAGAAGGAGGAGGGGCTGTGGTTTCCTTCTATACCTGCAGGAGGTCAATGTCAGAGACACTGATGAAATTCTCTCCTTGATTTTTCTGGGCTGTTTACAGCTTGTGTAGAATACCACCACAGCATGTGTGAATGAGGGTATGACACAAGATCTCTCTGATGTTCTGGGGTAGTATAAACATGTTCAAATGTTTTCTTTTGTTTAGGCACTAGAAGTGTTCTTGATTTAAAAGCCATAAATCAAACGCTCTTCCATACTCTAAACATATCACTGCCATTCCCTAGAGAGCTGGTTGGGGCTTCTTGGTTTCAGGTTAGAAGGAAGCAACAATATTTTTCTGGGTATTGTGGCTACTTCTGCTCTATCCAGGGAGCACAGAGCAAGGAGATGATGAACTTTTGGTGTGTTTTGTGACATAGGTCCATCTTTAAATTACAGTGTCTATTTACCTTGTTATTAACTCATCCTGTGTATTTTATTTTCTGGTCATCTGTAATTTTAGGGAAGAAAGGTTAATTTTTATGGGGATCATAGTGTTCCTCCTTCATACCAGCAGTGGTCCACTTAAACTATGGACAAATTCAGAGAAATTTGAATTTCACTTATCTAAATCCTGTATCATACCAGTAGTGACTGTGTTAGCACAGTAGCTCTGCAGTCATCCTGACACTCAGTTTAGGTGTACTGAGATTGAGGACCTGCCTGCATGTCCACCAAAACCCCATCACACAACAGGGCAGCAGGGTACCTGGAGAACCCCCTTGAGTTAGTGTGCCCCGCCCCCAGTTTTCTGAGGGATGTGGTACATGGGACTCAGTTCTAGGAGACTTTCTATATGCAGCTCATAAAGATCAGCCAGCTTTACACACATTATTCTTGTGATTTTGTTTTTGTTTTTTTCCTGGACGTCTTTTCCAGTTGTTTTTCCCTAAAATTTGCTTTGTGGTCTATGCAAAGTGGTTGAGGAAGAGAAGATTATTTTTAGGCTGGTCTTCATGCATTATTGCTAATTGACAGAATAGGATGCATAGTTAGCACACTATTTTCTCATTTCCAGATGCTACAGCCAACACAGGCAGTGCAAAGCTGTAGATGTAATTATCCCAAGAAAAATGTTAGATGGCTGCATTTGTTGAAACACTGGGTTTCTTATTGTCACAAATATATTATCTGCTTTTATCTGGCTTCTGTCCCTATCAAGTAAGTGAGCTACAGTAATATTATGCTATGATATATAATGTTTCCATTGCCATGAGGTGGAAAAGCAAGAGGGTTAAATATCAAATGGTTTGCTTGAAGCCCTAATTTGAAATCCCATCAGGGTCACTTGTTTACTAGCACTAATAGTTAACTAGTGCACAGCCTTTAAATTACTGCTTATTACAGCAGTGCTGTTCACACCACTGTGCTTAAGGACCTGTCAGCATTTCCAGTGGAAAACTGTTTTCAAAGGCTTATGACTTTGTCATGGATATTTGCTCTGAAACTTGCCAAATGTCATCTCAGGCTAGAAACAGATTATTTCCTTTATTGGAGACTGCTTGACTTGAGTTGGGAATAAATCAGCTTTCAAATTATTTTGAAGATAAGAAGAGTTGATTGAAATGTTTCCCCACGACCATAGTCTACTGTATTTAGAATAATGTAAATGAGGAGGGTTCTGGGACTCTGGGCAAATGAAGGGGTAATAGAGTGAAAAAAATGAACACAAAGGTACATTGATTTGTTGCAGCTTTGCAGCGGGTTCTGTGGTGGTAACAATACACATTGGCAAATTTCTCTAATTTTTGCAAAATATTGATGAGGCTTTGGCCAGTAGAATTCAGATTTTCTTCACTGCTTTGATACTTCAATGTAGTCCTTTATATTGATCTTTTCATTCCTATCTATTTGATCTAACTACACTCAAAGTGAGGTGACTTGGGTTTGATTCTTTGCTGTCCTTAGATAATTTTAAAGCCTCAGAAGTGTAATACAGACAAACTTGTGTCTCATTACCCCATCAGTAATGCTACCCCACAGCTACCTTCAAACCCCCTAGGGTCTGGTCAGGAGGTGAGAGCTGCTTCAAGACTTTAGCTTCACTGTTGTAAATGGCACTCAGAATCCTCCAATTGGAGAAGTGTTATTTTTTAGGAATTTCCTCATGCCTTTTGGAAAACAGATACTTCTTTAGGCTTCTCTTTGCCAATGATCAGCAGTCAAGGAATACTTTTTTATCCAGAACATAACTCAGAGCTTTTAATGGTAACTTGCTTTATGAAGGAACATCTTTCATGTTTTTCTGTTGACATGGTGGAGGATTTCTTTCCTTCTTTTAGTTTTGTTTCTTAATATTTCTTGAACAAAAAATGTACCTACACTCCAGCATTTTAAACTTTGCTATATTTTGTCAACTTCTTTTCAGTTTAAGTTACCTGAATACACATGAATCAAATTAGAGTCTTTCTTGATGCAGGGTGTTACACTGTACTAAAACTGGGCAGATAAGGGCTTCAAACTTTCAAAGGTGTTTAGTTTGTTTGTTTATTTTTGTTAAGGTATTGTTTGATAAAACTGTTATTTTAAAAACTCACACATTGTGGTCATGCACACATACAAATATTACTGTTTGGAGAGGTAAAGATACTCTAAAGAGGGCTGTTGGTGAAGAACTCTATTGTTCATCAACAGTATGCTAGTTACAGGAATATTATTTTAACCCCTTGGCTTTGCCATGAACATCTGTGTAGAATTCATCCACTGGGCTTCTGAACATATCATGAACACTCATGTCCTCACTGATCTGAGTGCAATACTAACAACGTTGATTCATTGTTGCAGTGATTATGCTCAATGCAGAAAAAAATTAACCTTGAAACCCAGTAAATTTACTTTCCTTCGAAATCTTTGTACCACATGCAGATGTTAATTATTTCCTATACTATTTCTGTCATTTAGGTGAAGGATCCATGTGTGCCTTCCATGACCCCAACTAGGTTGTTAGCCGTAACAGAGAAACAGGACTTCAGAGGGAGTAGCTAACCTTCACTGAATAGCCTGTCAGCCAGAGAATGATACAGAGCACCTTCAAAAGGTCCCCTAAGTAATGAACACTAAGGAGGGTTATAATGGGCCCATCATTAGCTCCAGCTAATATTTTGACCTAATGCCCACGTACACTACAGGTGTCATGCAGGGCCACCATAGGATTAATCTGCAGGATGTTTTGTGGTTATATGATGACAACACATTTCTTCAGCATGCTCCCCAACTTGTAAGCCGTTATATGTTATTTTCTATAATGCAAGTAAATTATGACCTCTTGCATACATTTTTTAGTTCTTTCCTCAAGCTCAGTGACCCACAGTGACCAACAACTCAAGTCCATAACCATGCAAAAGAGAAAAATAGGTAGCAAGGCCTTGAAAGTTTATCCTCTAACAAAGATATAACAAAATGTAAATACAGTTACTAGGAAATCTCATCTTTCCTCCTATTGTGTGTCCATTTCTTCAAGTGGTTTGTTTTTTTTTCCCCTGAATCCTGGTACTACTTACAACTTTGAAAAGGATGAAGACTTGTGCATTCCACTTCTGCATGCATTTTTAAGGGTCTTCTGTAAACTCATCTCCTGCCTTCCATGGAGAGATTACTTTTATGATAAATAATTTCTTTCAGTCTTTGCATTCATGTGTCTGTTTTCTACTTTATCAAACTTACTTATTCACTCAAGATGTTGGACAATCTTGCCTTCTTATTTGATTGTTAAGGATCCAAATCATTATTAAGGGGTTAAGGATTCACCTTCTCAGAAGTTACCGCTTTCATTTCTTTTGTATTCATAACTTCTTTACATTGTTTCCTGAAGAATGGCAGCCACTTTGTAAACTGAACTGAGCGACTATTAATATTGTTCATATTCTCAACCAGATTCAGGGATAAAGTCATCTGTCTCCATTTGTCTGTGGTCTTCT